TCATACAGAAAATATAAAAGAACAGTAATAAGAAAAATTACGTTTTTGAAAGAATATAATAATACAAACACAAGTAAATAAAAAATTCTTTAATTTTATTTTTTGAATCTACATAGTAAATTACAATTGAATCATTTCCCAACAAGATACATGATTCATGACGCATGTCTCAATAAATAAGTACTTCTTCGTATATTTTGGAACACTTACATTAATTAGACATGTCAGATAGAAATTAATACATGATCTATTGAAAAAGTTATTAGTAAATGATTAGTATAATTTAATGTATAAATCATTATTATTATTTCCATTGTCATCATGAATAATTAGATTTTTCTCTGAGTAGCTTTCTCTCGTAAATAACCTAATTTCCTACAACTAATATGGTTTGGGCAAGACAAAATTACTATTTTTTAATTATTTAAAGAAATAACACATTAGTTATAAATCATATGATACTATTTAAAATCAATCAAAATTATTTTAAAATTACACTCTTTTTTCTTCTAATTTAAATTCTCACTTTATTTCTTTTATTTTTCTTTTCTTTTCTTTTTTCATTCCTTCATCGAACAAAGATTTAACAGAATAATTCTATTTGTGAGAGATAATTGAAACCAAAGATTAATTATAAAATTACAGCTGAATTATAGGTTATATTTAGAAATTAGCTTACTAATTGATTACTTTAAAGTTATATATGATAAATAAACAAGAAAGTAAAATAAAGAAAAAAAAAGTACAATGACTTTCTAACGACGTCAAATATCATTATTTTGATGACTATATCAGTAAAATCAGAGTGACAAGACTCAAGAGTGATTGATTTCCATACCTTAAAAATAAATAAAAATTAATAAATAAATTTCATGGGATCCTGATTCTGACATATGATTGAAACGTATAATCATACATTTTACTTATTTTTGGTGAAATATAATTTAAGAGTTTTATTTTTCTCAAGATGCCATGAATTGTTGGGTGTGGAAGAATGAATGGACATAGGAAATGGGCTTGTCTTGCACTGATTCAGTAGCCTTTCCGCCTATGAGCTGAGATGGATCAGATTTGTAAATGGGCTTATAAGGCCTTTTTGCCAAACTACACGAATTAAAATTTATAGCTTATGAAACTAAAATGAAAATAAATAACTTAATTTTAACATTTTCTTTAGAAAAAAATAATATTCTCAATAAACAAAACCATTGGAGTATATTTTCATAATTTTTTTATGATAGAGAATAAAGGATAAACAAATTTTATCGTAAATCCACACACACACACACATATAATATGTAATATTAATATTAAAATACTTTTTAAAATTTGTAAATAGATATTATTTATTTACCTTAAAAGGAGCCCACAAAAAAAAATCATTATGTCTGTTTTGTGGTTTATCTGCCTTCTGGATGATGCAAGTAGAAAAGATGTGCAATATTGGTTATATAATATTTTTATTTTATTAAAAAAACTAATTTTTAAGAATTGATGTTTTAATTTTTGGCATTTTGTTTAAAATATTTATAAGAATGTTGTGTTTTTGGTGAAGCTGAGTGTTTTTTCCTAATTTTGAGGGACTGGAGAAAAAAAAATTAAAATATTAACTATAAAATATAGAAGTAAGCTATACATTAGTTATAACACCTATAATAGTATTTTATTATGTTATAATTTACTTATTCATCGAATACTTTAATTTCCATCCAACAACTTCTGGATTATAAATATATATAAGATAGTTAATGCAACACGTGTATCATGTGTGGACATGTACCCATCAATCTTAGCAAGCTAATTAAATAATTTGTATACATTTGATTTTCAAAGTGAAATAAATATATAAATAAAAGGGCATTATGTTCGAATTTTAGTAAAAAAATGTTTAGTCAAATTCAAAAATTAATAATCCGTCACGTGGCCAGTTAATGTGCATGTGTTAAAGGTGTCACAATATTTATTTTAATAATTTTATTTTTAATTTTTTCTAGATCATCAATATACATTTTTAATATCTTTTCAACTATTTCATAACCTGAAAAAACCAACACAAAATTTCATTACATTTACCACCTTCTATTTTGAAGAGTCTGAAAGCAAAAACAATTTCATTAGAAATGTCTTATTAATACAAATTTTAAATAAAAAATTAAAAGTGGGTAAATCAGTATATGTTGACATCTATATATTTTATTTTTCACTTGTAAATTAAAATAATCTAAGAAATTTACAAATTTAGTCATAAAGCATTTTTCCTTGGTCAAAACTTTTTGTTTCATAATGAAACAAAATGATATATTTGAAGCACTCAATCTGAATTTTTGATATTGTTTGACTTTCATTTCTGAGTTCGATCGACTTCGGATTTTTTAAAACTCTAGCCAAGAAATTTGAAAATTCGTTCCAGAAACGCAACCTCCCATGTGTTTCAGAGGTATTTTATTATATTCAAAGTGTTCCACACAAAACAAAGAACCTTTAAAATATAACATCAGAAAAAAATTAATTATTTTTATAGTTTTAACTAGTTATACAAACTTATATAAATGAATATGAAGTAAACTTATATATGTTTTTAATCTTTGAATTTGATGTAAAATTTTATTTAATTTTGTTTAAAATTTTAATATTTTTTAGTTTCAAAAATTTAAAATAAATGAATATAATATTTTTTTAATATAATAAAAATGTCTTTTAATTGACATTGCAGTGAAAATATGTTAAATGGTATAAATAATTCAAATGATAATATAAAATATATTTGATATATATCAAAAATATTTAATAAAATTGAATAAATAAAATTATATTAATTTATTTTTAATTTTTTTTTATCAAAATATATCAAAATTCGAATAAAGGTGATTTTTAATTTGATATAAAAATTTTAAACTAAAATTATATTTAATTTTAATAGATAATATAATTTTCCACTGTGATGGCGGTTGAATTTTAAGACGAAAGTTAAATATGCTGTACTATAAAAATATAAGACATTGGATGTTGACCATGATTGACATAGAAGCTTTTTCTTTTAATTAAATGAAGCCATTTATTTTTAAATCGCATTTATATGATAAGAAATATATGTATACAACACAACACAGAAAACAAAGGTGATACAAATAGATAATTAGGTAAAACAATGTTAAAAAATTATGAAAATTACATTTTTATCAAATTATAAATCTCGCCAATCCATTTTGTCTGATCTACTATAAAAAAACCTAATAATTTCTTAAAGTTTTTCTTTTGTAAAAGAATTATATTTTCAAGTTTTTTCATTATAAATTATTCTAAAATATACATTATTTTATTTATAAGAAAAGTAACGAGCGTTCAAAATATTAATTCAAACTTTCAATTAGTACTACAAGTTATAATATAACTACTAAAATTACAATTACATAGTATAAAACAAATTTATACAGTGATAGAAAATTACCTTAAAATAGTGTGGAGGTAAAGAAGAGACTAGAATAAAAAATGGGTTGAAATGTAATGTACTATTTGAATAAAACTATAAAAAAATAATAATGAAATGTGGAATTAAGACTGTAATTAGAAGGAAGGTACATAAAGAAATGTCAAGGAATTTGATAAATATTCAATGAGTCAAATAAATGAAAAAAATATAAAAAATTATTAAAAAAAAAAACTAAATAAAATAAAAAACTAAAAAAGACTTGGAAATAAATTGTTAGATTGTCTAATTATGAAATGTTTTAATAATTTAAAACTGATATGAAAAAGGAGAATGTGGTGTCTATTATTTTTGTCTCTACCAATTTTAAAAATATGATATTAAACTTATTTATATTTAAGATATTTTCTTAAAATTAAGATGATTTCAATTAATAGAAGAGATTCACATGTTTAATATTTGAAAGAATAACAGAGTTTAATATTTTTATGAATATAATAGAAATGAAATAAATATTCATTAGATATAATATGTAAATATTATTTGAATAAACATAAGATTAGAAGAATTAGAAAAAACTTAATAAATGTACTTAGACTGTATTTTTTAATATATTTATTAAAGCAGGAGTTATGAAAAAGACATAGGTATTAGGTTGTGCTAACTTTGAAATTTTGTCACATGTGGTTTTTATTTATAAATAATCCTCGGCTTAGTTCATGCCATGTCGAATTAATTACATCCATAATGGGATGTAGTGTGGCATTAACACGAACATGGATGGGTGGCTCTACCATGTTGTACAATAATGTTTGGAGAGAAATTATTCAGCGTCTGTGAAGGCACCCATTTTGTCAGAAACGTAAGACAGCGACATGACAACATAGAAAATGGCAATGCCATAGCATGGCATCAAACAAAAACCATTTACAACAAATGGCATGCCATACATAGGCATAAACCAAAAAAACCATTTACAACATCTAACTTTTCATTCCTTCCACTTTCAAAAATATTCTTTATAACATCAATTTTTTTACATTTATTTGATATTATTATTATTTTTTTTAGGAAAAAAAAAAAAAATAAAAATAAAAGTTTATATTTAAGTTAATTTCCATTTTATTTTTGTATTATGTGAAATTAATGTAAAAACGTCTCTTACAAATCATTTGCTTTTCATTTTGTCCCAATTTTATCTTGATCATTCGCAAATCTTTCTATCTACAATTTAACCCAATTTCATCATCTCAATTGTATAATAGAATATTGATTAATGGATGTGCGCAAGAATTTTTTATTGGCCGGCTTACAAGGCTCTAACTTTCGATCTCCAAACTTCATTATGATTCTTCGGGATTGTCATCTCATTTTGATAACATCATCAACGCATATATATTAATTTTCTACCCATCCAAAATCGCGTTGACTAAGCCAAATTAAACACTAAGTAAACTTAAAATGATTGTTCACACTTAATATGTGGCCAATATGGGACAATGAAATATTTGAAGTTTTATATATATATATATATATATACACACACACTCTTGTCAACCATTTGAGATTGCAGCAGATTCTGAGAAGATGAAGTTCACGGTGTCAAATCTATCAAGCTCTGTGTTCTTCCTCCTCATCTTCTATGCTTTTGTGTCTCCCATCCATGGAAGCAACAGACATGCTGCTCTCTTCATTTTTGGTGATTCTTTCTTAGATGCTGGCCAAACAACAATTACATCAACACACTACAGCTCTTCTACCAAAGCAATGTTCTGCCCTATGGGGGAGAAACATACATTCACTTCCCCAACAGTGGAGATTCTCTGATGGGAAGGTTGTATAGATTCATAGATTTCATAGGTAATTAAGATTGGAGGATCTCATTGTTTCTTGTCTTGTTACTGGTGAGAATCCAATTTGTTGAACCACCATAATTTTTCTTGTCCCCCGTTACGCTAATGGTATCTGAATTAACTAATAATATCATAATTTTTTGGCAGCCCGACGGCCTGAATATGCAAAGCTCGCTATGGTCTTCCACCATATTTAAACCTGGAAAAGTAACCAATTACTATGGAGGAGTGAAAGAGTTTTGCCATCTGGTGGAACTGGTGCTTTGTTGAAACTTTCGAAGGGTCGGTGAGTCAAATTCATATACCCTATTTTTGCTTTACCATAATGCTCTTTTTAAGTAAGTGAAAAGGTTATTAGTGTAAGTGATCGAGAAGATATATATCGTAATTTGGTAAATTAGCGTGTTCATATGCATGTCAAAAGCATCTAGGATGCAATAGTAGGTCACTACGAAACACTATAGGGGGATAGCAGTATGATTAGGTTTAATTGAATAAGGCCATGCTTTTCTCTTATTCATTCTGGTTTTTTTTGCATAAGCTCTTCTAGGTAGTAGCAGAACAGTGATTAAAACAAGGCACTAGAGAAAACATGCTGGTTTTTACCTTTTTTTACTTTGCCGACACATGACATGGAACATGACATTGTCCTAAAAAAAAGCCCTAACTCAAGGGCCAAACCAATGAACCTAACCACAACAAACCTGACCTATCATTCTGTTGTAAGATCAGAGAGGGAGAGAATCTTCTTTCACTAAAATAAACAAAAACTATTGTAATTTGTAAAAAAAGTGACGAGTTTATTTTTTAAGAAAGCTTTTTTTTTTTTATTATTATACTTCTTGGAGTGCGTTGTGTGGTTTAAAATATGTTTCAAATAAAAATACAAAAACTCGTTAGAATTGGCCATATGCTTCCTTGTCGTAGACTGAGAAAAAAAAAGAAATTTCTATAAAAGAGAGGTGAAAAGACACAAATAGATGAAGAGGAAAATAACAAAACAGTTATTACGAAAGGGAGGTGGGGGGGGGGAAAAAAAACAAAAAAAAAAAAAAAAAAAAAAAAAAAAAAAAAAAAAAAAAAAAAAAAAAAAAAAAAAAAAATATTTTTGAAAAAAAATAATTGAAAGGAGAAAAAATATTTTTTTTCTATTTTCAATATTTGTATTTATTCCATTGATATTATTTTTATTATTTATTATTATAATCATTATAAAAAAAAGGATATTCATTTTGAGAGCCATAATATAAATGTTAGGAGTTTGTTAAACTAAACTATACATTGATATTTTTTTAGAGAAATGATATGGGTTAATAGAGACCACAAAAGTTTGGTTTTTACAGTTTAGCGCTATCCGATTAACGGGGCTCGGTTTTCGGTTTAAAAAAAAGTAGTACAAAGTCAGTGATTATGGACCAGTGGGGGTTTGTTTTATTTTGGTTTTTTAAATAAAAAGTAAAAGTGTTGTTATCCTCTTGTATAATTTTTTTTTATAATACTTACATTGAGTTATGATATGAAACACAACTTTTATGTTTTTTCTATACTCATTTAGGTAGTCCTTATTTATAGTATTTGATGTTGTAGGATTGTCTTGACAATATATTTTCATAGAATAAATACAAATTTATCAATAAATTTGAATTCATTGATATAAAATCCTAAAATTTTTGTTTCTTAAACGCTTTTATAGGTTAAAAGGATCCTAAAAGATTGTCCGAATACAGATGGTCTTGGAAATTCATGCATGACCACTTTGTTTTGTTATCAAAATTTTCAGGTAAATAACCTTTTTGAAAAACACAAGCAAGAACTACAAGGAAAGTTTGCAGCTTTTATGAAGGCACAATTAGGGAAATCCGAGCTAAGTTATTGTATCAAACGCATTGTCTACTTGTTAGCATTCGGAAACGCAGATGATTTATCTTCAGCCCTTTCTGACAGAATTTGATGTTAGAAATATTACTTCTTAGAATATGCTTGCTATGGTGTTCGTTAATAGACTTCCATTTATCAAGGTAAAAAACCTTTTAGTCCTTTCTTCTTTTCTTTTTCAATTTCTCACACAGATAATACACCCGTCGGTTTTATTTTACTGTATTTATTTATATTTTCTACACCGAAAACTTAAAGGAAAAAGGGTCATAAATTTGAATCTTCACAGGTTTAAAAATGAACTCATTATTTGAACATCTGTATAGTTTTCCCTCCTAACAAATGTTAACATTTAGCACTTATTTTTAATATATTAATTGTAAATTTAATTAGTTTTAATTATTTTTTAATAATTTCTTTATTCTCAAATATTTAGTCACGTGATTATCCTCAATGGATCCTTCAATTATTTTGAGAATTTACGTTCTTCCCTATCTCCGTATTTCCCCCTATTTATAAAAAAAAATTATTTGTGGTCCAAAAAACCCCAAAAAAGCTTTAAATGGTCAAAATAACGTAAAAAATGTAAAACAACATCTTTATATAATCCAGTCCAGAATAAGGAACAACGTGAACAAAGTTAACGGATTTGACTGTAACCTTCGATTCAATTATGACGATGTATAAATATGTCCATAAAATTGACTTACTGATAATAAAATATATATTTTAACAACAAAGTTAGGTTACTTCATATTCTGTCTAATTTCTCTTAAATCTGTTTTCTTAGGTTGATTCTTTGCTATGAAATATGAGGACTAAATATAATTCTGTTTAATTTAATAAAAATAATTTATTTAAACTATGTTATAATTTTATTTTAATTGTATTTTGATTAACACAAAATTACTTATCCAATTCATAATTGATTTTGTTAAATATTTTACTTTTATTCCCAAAGAATAAGCTGCATGCAATTTAACCAGTGGAAGAAAAAGAAAGAAAAAAGAGAAAATATTTTTCTTCTGACTGGGGCCTGCAGTAGTACACAGACCACCGTCCATAAAGTAAGACCAACATTCAAATGTTAGAAATGGTTAATCAGAAGACTTTCCAAAGTCCTAAACGTGCTTATAGGTAAAAAAAAAGTTCATTTCTTTGTCTTTTTCCGTCAACTTCCCTCCAATTTAACCTGTGGTGTTAAACACAAGACAGAAAATTACAGAAAAAAATTATTATGTATTGTTGGAAGAAAAGTGTCACACTCAACGATCATATTTAAAAGAAAAAAACATTTTTTTTTCTGCCGTCTTTCAATATAAAAATATATATTATTACAAGCTATGTTATATAAGAGTATATCTAATCATAGCTATTTACAAAATAATTATAGGGTCTATTTTTTAAGCTTCTAATTATTAGAATAAAAACTTATCGAAACTCTTAAATCTTGTGATCAATTGTAACAATGATTTATACGTAATTATCAGTATGGATTCATCAAAACAATAACATGTATAGTAATGTTTTAGTATGGTTTTTGTAGGGCATATACAAGAGAGGGGCTAGAAAATTTGTGTTGATGAACTTGCCACCCTTGGGTTGTCTTCCAGGAACCAGAATAATTGATGTGGAAGAAAATGGAAAATGCTTGCAAGAACTTTCAAACCTTGCAAGTTTACACAATAGAGTTCTACATCTGCTTCTCTTGCAACTGCAGAATAAATTGAAGGGCTTCAGATTTGCACTGTATGATTTCCACACTGATGTCACTCAAATGATGAACCATCCCTTCAAATATGGTATGTCTTTAACACTGGAACTTATGATCTTTAATTTAAAAGTGATTTTGCAAAACAATAACAGGAAAGTGTGTTGCTATATATGTGTAAGATTTTTTTAATACCAAACAAATTTATACAAAATAAAATCACTTTTAATTCAAAATTTTAAAAAAATAACTTTGAGTTATTTTAATTTGCTAATAGATCTATTTTTTTTCTTTAACAATATTTGTTATTTATTAGATCTATCGTGTCATCTGTTATCATATCACTCGTTTCATCTGTTATCAGATCATTCGTTAATGTATAGTCGATGATGATACAGGTTTGGAGGATGGAAAATCAGCATGTTGTGGAAGTGGAAGATTGAGAGGAGAGTATAGCTGTGGAGGGAAGAGAGGGCAGAAGGAATATGAATTGTGTAAGAAACCGAATACATATTTATTTTGGGACTCTTATCATCTCACAGAAAGTGCTTACAAAAGCATAGCAGATAGAATGTGGGGTTTTAGCAACACCTCTTACAATATAGGGCCTTACACAATCAGACATTTCTTCCAACTTCCATGATTTCTTTCATCTTTCATTGTTTTTGCTTCATTGCATCAAAGATAAAATATTCTTATTATCGTATTATATCCTCATTGTGTCAACAAAGTCTATGCAGATAAGTTTGGTGT